AAAGTATTCTCCTGTTCTGGTTCTTCGCAGGCATGACACATGGCCCTCCTTTCTTATACATCAATGAGTCTCAGACTGTGGTCCCCAGATCAGCAGGAACTGAACCAAGCTCTCAGGGTTCATTCAGCCTTCCTAATCAGAAACTCTAGGGGTGTAGCCCAATAATCCCCATTTCAACAAAACCTACGGGTGATTCTCTAGTGTTAGAGTCACTGTTACAGAGAGGGCAGAAAGACAAGGGCATTCAGCCTAGACCAGGCTTCTCAATCTCAGCTCCAATGGCTGGAGCCAAATCACCCTGTGGCAAGGAGACTATTCTGTGCCCCACAGGATGTTGAGAACTGGACCTGGCACTGACCTACACGCCAACACTATCTTTGCCTTACAACCTAAAACACCTGCAGTTCCACCCACAGTTTCAAATGTTCTCTGGGGTCCATCATCACCCCCAATGGAACACAACACACAGACTTGGAAAATTGGGCGCTGACTTCAGGAAGGCCCTTGCTTCCTTAGCTTTTCCTCTCAGGATGTCCTACCTAGTTTCCACTGCTTGTAGCTCTTATTTAATGAATTAGCTTCAGCTGAACCCCACTGTAAATATGAAAAGTTACTTTCCTGAGCGCAGCTACGTATACCTATAATCCCAGCATGCAGGAGGCTGAGACAGAATGATCATCAGTTCCAGGTCAGCCTGAGCTATTTCTCGGGGCTGGAGAGATGGCTTAGAAGTTAAGAGCACTGACTGCTCTTACAGAGGACTCAGGTTCGATTCCCAGCACCCACATGGCCGCTACGACCTGTCCTTGACTCCAGTTTCAGCAGACTCCGAAGCCCTCTTCTGACCTCAGAGGCATTGTACTACACAGTGCACTCACATACATGCAGGCAATACACTCACACACATAAGAATTATAAAATATATTTTTAAAATTTCTTTAGGTGTAGTAATACACTCCTATAATCCCAGGATGTGGGACATGGAGGCCACCCTAAGCCGCACAGTGAAAGACTAGCCTGGGCTACATGAAACCCTGTCTCAAGCAAACAAAACAAGGGCTAGTGAGGAAGTTCATCAGGTCTCTCTTTTCTCTCTCTCTCTCTCTCTCTCTCTCTCTCTCTCTCTCTCATACACACACACACAAGTAAAAAACAAAAAATTTTGTATAAAGAGTTTCAAGCCATTTTAAAAATTACTATTTCTATTTTAAGGGTATGAGTGTTACGTCTGCATGTATGTAAGCACACCTATGTCATGCAATGCCCACGGAGGCCAGAAGACAGCGTTTGCTCCCTTGCAACTGGAGTTACCAACAGTTCTTAGTCGCCATGTGGGTGCTGGGAATCGAACCTGGGTCCTCTGTCAGAGCAGCCAGTGCTCCTAACCACTGAGCCATCGCTCCAGCCCTCAAGCAATCTTTTTTTGAACTTTGAGACTTTTAATCATTTAACAGCTATTTGATCGTGAGTAATTATTTCAACATGGTTTGTGCTTCAGTTTTCTGACCTGTCAAATGGCCATCAGAATATATGTACCTCAAACTCCAAGATATTCTCAGCAAGATCTGCTGCACCATCTTCAACTGCCACTTTATGCAGTAAAACAGATGAATCTTTACATTACAGTTTCATCTCTTAAGTTTTAACACCAAATGAGCTTTCAGACCCAACTTACACACACACACACACACACACACACACACACACACACACACACACACACTTCTGCCTTTGAAAAGGTATGGGTTTTGAAACTGCTGATCAGGGAGGAGCACCACACCATGCTCATAGAGACAGGAGGTCAGATGTGATGACACACAGGGTCTGACTCTGTACTGGTAGACAGAAGGGACTTTTTAAGGGTTGACTATTGTTATTTCTAAACCATAATTTCCAATCATGTCATTTGCTTGTTTTGAAGTCTGGTGGTCCTTCACTGCCTGCAAAATAAAGTCCAATTCCTAGGAGCCACACCAAAAACTCGCTCTAAATCTTCTGGTCACTTTGAAACATTTAGGGTTCTTTACCCTTCAAATTCCCTTCTGGCTTTTCCTCTGCCTGTAACAGGGTCAAGCACTTTTCCTTCTATAAAACACTCCTCCATCCACTAGGACCTCCTCTGCCAACCACCCAAAAGTCTCTTCTGTGTCTTCCCAGCACTCTGGGAGCTGAGCGGACAGGGCCGAGTCCTGAGTAGACTGCCCAGCCCTTGGAAAGAGCGATTTTCATGTCAGCTGTCCTTCTGCCCCTAAGGTATAGCAGTGACCCAGACCTTGGTATTTATCTAACAAATCCTTGGGTGAATATAGATCAGTGTTCTATATCCTCAGACATAAATACAGGCTTCCTTAGGACAAGGACCAGGTATTGTGGCTTTTGATCTCTGGAATTTCACATTCAATTGAGAATTCCCAAATATGAATGAAGGGTATGATACATATTTATGACTGTTTAGGAAAAAACACCATAACCAACACCACAAAATTCACAGCACCACACTGTCATCACACCTCATGAAATGCAGTACCTACAAAAAGGCCTGAAATACAAATCAGAATCCTAAATTACCAGCCCCCACGGTGGCTTAGTCATCTTCGGGGCCCTGAAGAATGGTGGTACATCAAGTGAAAACGAGACGATCCAAGACTCCCCATAACATTTGAGTCCCAGTGCGGCTTAGTAATCACTTTCCATAGAACATTTAGCAGCGCTGTTTCTGCCCGGTAATCTCAGACATTCAGCAATTTTCCCAACATGCATGAGTCATGAACAAAATATCTCACTGAATAAAGCTTGTTAACTTTTTAGAATGTTGTCCAAATTCCTGTTTGTATCATACAGATACCATTATTCTGCCATTTGCCTAGTGTACATTCCCATCTTCTCCCTAGCCTCATGCCCACGCTATTTCTCTTTCACACACCCAGGCTGGGTTCCTACCAGCCATTATTACCCTACTTGGTAGAGGTCAGCTACATGTAAACTGTAGAGAAAATGAGCTTACTACCTAACTGAGAAAAAACCCTAAGCTCATACTAAAGACAAATACAAAGGTCCAGTAGGAGCTGGGGGCGTCAGGTTTCTTCTTCCCATTCAGGGCCGGCCCTCAATTTTACTTTCTTCAAAAGGTATAATGACAAAAGGCTGGCTTCTGCCTCCTGCTTTGAGAGAGCAGAATCTTCTGTCCTCCACAAAGCCTTCCCAGTGTGGGCCTATCACTACTTAAGATCATTCATTTTGCCAGGGAAACGGTTTCATTCAACAGGTATCAATGCCTGCACATTCCCACCAGAAAGGCAATCTAGCTGTAAACCTTTATGGTTTTAAGCTTGCTGAAATTCCAAAACAAGGAATATGTCTCCAATCACTTTACACTGTCCTGAAAACCAGAGAGCAGATGGGGTGGGGAGGGGGTCCTGGGTTCCACTTCTGGCTTCCCCACTAGCTCTGTGATTCAGAGAAACTAGCTACACTTCGATGGCCTGTTTCCTCTTGAGTAAAATGAAGTCATTGGAACAAACGAGTATTTCTCCAAAGTGTGTGGAGTGACCAATGCCTCAGTCCTAGAAACAACACTGTAGGAACGTAAATATGTCTCCATTTATTCTTTGTGGTAAATGATACTGGCTTTCCTAGTGGTAGAGATACAAAATTTCCTTTTAAAACAAACACATCTGGTCTTTTTAAAGAATGAGTCATTTTATTTTAAAAACTGAAAACTATTTGGTAAATAAAGAGTTCAGATGATTCTAGCAGCTGTGGTAAAAATAACTGATCTTGGGGCCTGGTGAAGCACTGAGCAGTATAAACTCCAAAGCAAACTATTAGGAAGAAGTAAAGGCACCAAGAGTTCCTTGCAGGAAATAAACACTCAGCATCAGCACCTGAAGCAACCAGCCACTAGTCCTCTGGGACTTGGAATCAACCAGGGAGGAAGATTCAGGAAGCTCCAGAGCCTCAGACAAAATCCCAGGAAGAAAAGACAAGAGGCAAACGTTCCAGGCTGGAGCAGCATGGTGGGACGGTGGGATAGGGGGTCCGGGGTGGCAGCAGGCAATGGCCTGGCTAGAAAGGCATGCTAGAGAACGGGGTCGCGAGCTGCAGGGGTGCTGTGGGAAACCCAGACTGGAGCCCAGCGGTGGGGGAGGCTAGTTACGGATTTTGTCCAGAGGGACAAGGTTCCAGGTTGGAAGAGTGTGATGAGAAGTAGGACCTAGGACTGGAGGGGTGATGTGGGACGAGGTCCTGGGCTGGAGGGGCGCTGTGGGACCGGGTCCCTGATCTTGGAGGAGCACTGTGGGACCGGGTCCCGGGCTTGGAGGATCTCTGTGGGACCTGGTCCCGGGCTTGAAGGAGCATTGTGGGATCTGGTCCGGGGCTTGCAGGAGCACTGTGGGACCGGGTTCCTGGCTTGGAGGAGCACTTGGGACTTGGTCCTGGGCTTTCAGGAGCATTGTGGGACTGGGTCCTGGGCTTGCAGGAGCACTGTGGGACCGGGTCCCGGGTTTGGAGGAGCGCTGTGGGACTTGGTCCTGGGCTTTCAGGAGCACTATGGGATCTGGTCCTGGGCTTGTAGGAGCATTGTGGGACCGGGTTCCTGGCTTGGAGGAGCACTTGGGACTTGGTCCTGGGCTTTCAGGAGCACTATAGGATATGGTCCTGGGCTTATAGCATTGTGGGACTGGATCCTGGGCTTGGAGGAACCCTGGAGGACCGGTCCCGGGTTTTGAGGGCACTGTGGGACTGGGGCTGGCGGGGCGTGTTGGGGTTCAAAAAGGCAGGCGGAGGGGGAGAGGTCCCAGGCTGGAGAGGTGCGACGACCCGGCGGAGTGCTCGCGGAATTCGGGGTACAGCAGAGGCGGCAGGCCGGCCACGTGACCCGCGGTGACCCCAGGTGGGGAGGCCGGGCCGCGGACCCCAGAGTCCCCACGCCCCGTGGTCGCGCAGCTCGCGCCGCCCCCACCGCGCTCCCCGGCCCACGAGCGCCGCGCCCGTCCTACCGGTCCTCGCTAGCCGTGATCACGCCGTCCTCCTTGGGGATGAGCAGCGCGACCGTGACGGTGTCCTGGTGTCCTTCTATCTTGCTCAGCAGCACCGGGCGGCTGCTCTGCGGCCTGGAGTGGATCTCGGCCGCCATGTTCGCGCCACGGCCTCCCCCGCGGCCGGCCCATCAGCTGACGGCCCCGGCGGGCGCCGGGCGGGGACGCGCCGGTTGCCCGGGGCGACCGGGCGGCTTGTGCGCTGCGCGGCCGTAAGCTCGCGAGCACCGCCGCTGCTTCCCGTATTGCGTCGGGAAGTCGCGCAGTTAAAGCGCTGCGAGCCGGAAAGAGCCCCAGACGGAGACCTGGGCAGAGAAACCAGGAGCTAGGTGAAGGTTGAAGTCTAGCCATAGCCAGGCGTGGTGGCGCACGCCTGTAGCCCCAGCACTTGGGAGGCAGAGGCAGGCGGATCTCTGTGAGTTCGAGGCCAGCCTGGTCTACATAGTGAGTTCCAGGACAAAATTTAAATAAATAAATAAATATTATCAAACTGTACTATGTACACTGCACCCATCCTAAGAAACCAATTCAGTGATGTAAAAACGTGAAATAGTGCATCTTAGAATCTTTGGTGTGCCAGTTTCTTTACGTGGATTGTCTCAATACAAATAAGTGATGACTAGCCGAGTGTTCTTGCATTCTCAAAACTGACCCACAGAAGAACGATCACTTGGTGCTTAACGTGGCATGGAAATAAGAAAAATAAAAGCAGCTTTTAACCTCTGGCAGCTGGATGCTCACAGTGCCGTTCTACTGAGTAGGGGCACTGCATAATTCCACTCTCCACTCATGAACTTTGTACAAACCACAAGTGAAACACCTTCCTGTCCTGGAGCATATGAATGATTCCCGCTTCTTTACCATTTACAGTGTTCACTTCCAGATGTAAACCTCTGGTCTCCCATCTAGGTAAGATGTTAGGCTATCCAATCTTGTATTTACCCCCAACTTACTGGCACCTTCCAGTAAACCCTTCCCAAATCACCTAACACAAACACATATCCTACAGTAGTCCTTTTCTGACTTTTACCCAGATGCTCAAGGCTCCCCCAGAGGCATCTTCTGACAAGGAGCAGTCACCCTCACCTGGTCAACTATAGGTGTGTTCCTGGTGGGTTTTGGCTGGAGGACACTGACAGCTAGTAAGATAAAAGGGCCAGAACTGGGCCCCAGGAAGTCAATGACTTCAGATAGCTCTCCTCGCCAACCTTCATACATAAACGTTACATAATTCTAAAACCCAAATTGCAAATGTGCTCTAGAACTGGGCTGTGTACTATCTGCGTGACTACTGAGCACTTGAAATGTGGCTAGTCTAAATTGACCTGTAAAGTCAAAGCACACACTGCTTTAAGGATTCATTGTAAACATAAATGATGTGGGATATTTACTAGCAATTTTATATTGTGGGGCTGGGGAGATGGCTCAGCAGGGAAAGTGTTTGTAATGAAAGCATGTGTTGGATAGGTGTGTCCTCTGAAGGACCAGAAACAGATGGATGTATTCTTCCCCTCCCCAACTGACTGCAAACTCTTTGAATCCTAAGACCCTTGGTAGAAAAGGAGGGAGACAGTCACCCCTCCGACCCGATCAGCCTTAACTGAATGAGGGAGACGGACTAAGGGGAGACACCTGGAATGCAGGAGAGGAAGAGGGGGATTTGCCATCTTGGGCAGGTGGCCAGAGGCTGCAGATCTGGACGATTCAGCTGACATACAAAGAAAAAAGCACAGGGGTATCTATACCTTTGTAAGTACCCCTCCTCGTCATCATAAACTCTATTGCCAAGCCGAAATAAATGTCTTTATTCCCTAAATTTTAGTTTGGAGGAATAGTCTGTCGGTTGGTCAGTGGTAAGGACAGTGTGAGGAGGGAGGGTCTCAGCAGGCCTGAAAACCGTGAGCATGTGGGCCTCACAGAAGTAAAATTGACTTATAGCATAAGGACCTGAAGTTGGACCCCCAGAATCCACTTAAAAAGCTGAGCATGGGGACTGAAGAGAAAAAAGCTGAGCATGGGGACTGAAGAGATAGCTCAGCAGTTAAGAGCATTGGCTGCTCTTGCACAGGACCCAGGTACTATTCCCAGCACCTTCATGGTGACAAACAACCATCCCTGACTCTAATTCTAGGGGATCTAAAGCCCTCTTCTGACCTCTGCAGGCATTGCACAACAAAGGTGCATGTACTTACATACATGCAGGCAACATACTCATACACATACAATAAAAGAAAAAATTCAAAGGCTGAGCATGGTCATTTGCATCTGTAACCCCACTACTGGTTAGGACAGAAACAGACAGATGTTGGGGGCTCACTGGCCAACCAGCCTAGCCAAAACAGTTATCTCCAAATTTGATAAGAGACTTTGTCTCAAAAAAATAAGTAGAGGGACTGGAGAGAGGGCTCAGAGGTTAAAAGCACTGACTTCTCTTGCAGAGAACCTGGGTGCAGTTCTGGAGCAACCACATGGCAGCCAACAACCATCCATAAACTTCAGTTTCAGGAGATCCAATGCCCTTTTCTGAACTCCTTGGGCAATGCACCACACAGGTGCACTTACACATATGCAGGCAATATACTCACACACATAAAAAATAAAAATACTGGGGGCTGGAGAGATGGTTCAGTGGTTAAGAACAGTGGTTGTTCTTGCAGAAGACCCGGGTTCAAATTCCAGCACCCACATGGCAGCTAACAACTATCCATAACTCCAGTCCCAGGGGATCCGACAGCCTCCTCATAAAATTTTTTAAAAAAATAAATAAAAATAAAAATACTAAATATTAAAAATTTTAAAAAAAGGTCGCCAGGTGTGGTGGCACACGCCTTTAATCCCAGCACTCAGGAGGCAGAGGCAGGCAGATCTTTGTGAGTTCAAGGCCAGCCTGGTCTACATAGTAAGTTCCAGGACAGCTGGGGCTACAGGGAGACCCTGTCTCAAAAAGACCAAAAAAAAAAAACCCAAACCAAACCAAACCAAACCAAAACAGTGAAAAAGCAACTGAGATAGATATCCTGATGTCAGTCTCTGGTGGGAGTACACACACACACACACATGAGCATATCCATACACATATGAACACATGCATAAATTACACACACAAAATAATTTTATATTGATTGCATTTTGAAATGATACTACTATGCATATATAGAGTCGAGTAAGAGAGGATTAAAAGTAATATGTCCTGTTTCTTACATTTTTTATGTGACTAATAGTTTTAAGCTACAGGTGTGACCTACCAAGTATTTCTCTTCAGCAGTACCACACTAATCCCTTCTAACAATGAAGTTAACAAATTCATTCACTTAACAAACATCGCACATTTACTATGTGCCATATAGATCAAGATAACTGACCTATGGTTCCTGCAAGGTTTATGTATATAATAAGTAGACAAATTATTGAGTCAACAGATATTTGGAGGTGACTGCTGTAAGTCAAGGGCCATTTTTTTTTTTTTTTTGGTCTTTTGAGACAGGGTCTCCCTGTAGCCCCAGCTGGCCTGGAACTCACTATGTAGACCAGGCTGGCCTGGAATTCACAGAGTTCCGCCTGCCTCTGCCCCCCTGGTGCTGGGACTAAAGGCGTGCACCACCACGCCTGGCTGCCAGGAGCCATCGTAAATGGAGCAGTGCCCAAAAGAACTAGAAATCCGTATTATACTATTAGAATTTATATTCTAGGTCTAGGACATAGCTCACTGGTGTGATGGTTAATTATGTCAACTTTGCTGGATTTAGAGTCACCTAGAAGATAGACAAACTTCTAGGCGTGACTTTGAGGGTCTTTCTAGAGAGTTTTAACTGAGAAGGGAAGACCCACCCTGAATGTGGTCTACGCCAATCCACAGGCTGGAGTGTGAACCGAATCAAAAGGAGAAAACAAGTGAAGCACTAGCATTCATCTCTACTTCCTGACTGCAGACCCAATATGAGCTGCTCCTCCGAGTCCCACTGGCAGGTGTTCCCTGCTGCGGGGGACAGCACCCTCAAGCCATGAGCCAAAGTAACCCCTTGTGTAAGTTGGTTTTTTATCAAGGATTTTGTTACAGCAATGAAACATGAAACTAACACAGTGGAAGAGTGCTTGCTTAGCATGTGCAAGGAAGAGAACTGGCATTCCATTGAAGGAAACAGATAAGGAAAATAAGTTCAATCATTTAGTACATTAGAAGATGGCCGATGCAATGGGTAACAGGGAGTTTAGGGGTATTACGGTTCTAACTAGGATGGGATTGTGGATAAAGAGATGACTGCACAGAGTCACCTTCATGGAGGAAGAATGGTCAGCAGTCTAGCCCTCAGATTTCAGGATCTGTGTCAGCTGCTGAGAGGCACCAGGCCTCCATCATGCCTTTTACAGGACACCTTGAATTGTACAGCTGGAGCATACAGGCCTGGCCATCAGGGCCCACAGCTGGTCAATACCTGCTCCAGAGCTCTGACTTGGCCTGTGTGAGACTTGATCAGGCCTAAATGACTGATGACTGCTCCTGCCTATCTCTCTAGCCTATTATCTCCACACCCCTTCACAGGTGTTAAGACCTAGTAATGTTGGATGCCAGCCTCTAGCTCAATTTCTGCTTCCAGAGAATACAGCCTGGGACAGGTAATCAGGGAAGGCCTCCTTGAAAAGATATTTGAGCCAATAAGGAAGTAAGTCCTGTGGAAGGTGAGCAAAGTGCTATTCTGAACAAGGAAATAGCTCATGCTAAAGCCCAGTGGTGAGCAGGCCTGGGGTCTTATGCTGGAGCAGAATGGGGCTGGCAGAAGAGAGAGAGGGATGAGACAGACACAATAGATGATGCTCGGAACAGAGACCTTGTAAAGATTGTGATTTTTCCTTCATATGTGATAGGAGGCCAATGAAGGATTTTGAAGAGACTGGACTAATCTACATTTTTGTTCTGGTTTTCTTGAGTTGGTCTCACTATATAGCCCAAGATAGTCTTGAACACACAGTCCTCCTGCATCAGCTTCTCTAGTACCAGAATGACAGTGAGCACCACCATGTCCAGCTACTCTAGTTTGTTTGATTGATTGACTGATTTTATGTGGTACTGGGGATTGAATCTAGGACTTCATACATATTAGTCAAGTGCATTACCCATTGAGCTCCCCAGCCTTTTTTCTTTTTATTTGGAGACAGGGGCTCCCTAAGTTGCCCACATTGGCCTCGAACTCACTGTGTAATTCAA